GGGCGCCAAAGCAGATTGTGCACACTTAACCGCTGTGCCACCAGGCCGGCCCCTGGACTAGCCACCTTTTGAGTGCTCAACAGCCGTATGTGTTTAGTGGCTACCGTGTTGGATTGTGTAGACGAAGAGACTGCATTTGAGAGGAACAAGAATGGCAAAGCTGTTGCAGTTGACCTGGAAGAGTACAGCAGCCTGGGAATAGCGACAAAAGGACAGATTTCAGAGATGTGATTCCAAGGTTGTCATACTGGGTCTGGACTTAACACCTCTGGATTCCTTTTATGTGAAGGAGAAATAAACTCCTACTTTGTTTGGGCTATTTTACTTGGGATTTTCCTTCTACTCACAGCTGAACCTAGTTTTGAGGAATCTATCACCTAAACGGAAATGTCCAATTGACAGATCTGATGGGTTTAAATAAGGAGACAGGTCTGAGAAAGCTACATATAGATTTGGGAGTTCTCAATCCATAGTTGGTCTTTGAAGCCATGGCAACCTATGAGATCTCTAGGGAGAATGGTCTAGTGAGAAGAGAAAAGGATCTAGAACAGAACTCTGAGGAACACCAACACAGGATGGGCAGAGGAAGAGAATCCTGCTAAGGACACCGAGAAGGAGCCGCCAGACAGGTAAGAGGGAACCAGGGAAGCGCTGCTCCACAGAAGCTTATGGAGGAGAGAATCCCAGGGAGGGGGTGATCAGCAGTGGTAAAGGCAGCTGTCTCTGTGGCTTATGCTTGTGAATGGCATCATAGAGCCTGAATAAACCAACTTCGGCTTCTGTCGCAGCCCCAAATTCCACCAAAGGCTGGTCATGTCATCCTCCTGCTCAGTGCTCTTCACTGGGCTCCCAGTTTCTTAAAAAGTTCTAGCACATCCTCTAGGCCCCTCCAAAGTCTGCTCCTAGTTTTTCTGTCCAGCCTGTTCCCTTCCCCAGCACACTCTGTCCCTGCAGGCCTGGTTTCCTACCATTCCTTGCCTTGGCTTGTGTGCTTCTCTCTGACTAAAGAACCCTCCCTCCCTCCCTTTTCTTTTATCCCCCAAATCCTACCATGTTTTAAGACTTAGCTCAAATGCCAACTCTTCTGTTCCTTGATTCTTCCAGACTGACTAAGTTCCCCCCCAACCCCATGCCCCCCATGAGCACTTTGCTCACTCTTGATCACAGCCCCCAGTTTAGTCTAGCCTGTGTTAAAGTGAGCTGCATACACGTGAGTAGAAGGTAAGCTTGGAGAAGTCTGAGGCTGCTTCTGGCTACTCATCCCTGTTCCTTTTGGCGCCTTCCACAGAGCTTGAGAAGATGTTTAAGAAATGTTTACGGATTCAATGGAATTGTTTTCCCTCACAGCCCCCAAGTAATAATGTGGTCTCAGTCTTCTTTGTCATGTCACTACAGGGGTTGCGGGGATGAGCGAGGCACTAAAATAGAGAGAAACTTGGTTTAGAGGGAAATAGACAGGAGTTGAGTTTGAATACAGCTTCTCAAAGAAATAGTCGCAGTCTGAGCTTCCTCTGACCTAAGCAGCTTACATCATCTGAATGCTCAAGAACCACCTTATTGGGGCTGGCCCTGTGGTTGAGTGGTTAAGTTTGTGTACTCCGCTTCAGCGTCCCAGGGTTTTGCCAGTTAGGATCCAGGTGCGGACATGGCACCGCTCATCAGGCCACGTTGAGGCAGCGTCCCACATGCCACAACTAGAAGGACCCATAACTAAAATATACAACTATGTACTGGGGGGATTTGGGGAGAAAAAGCAGAACCCCCCCCCCAAAAAAAGATTGACAACGGTTGTTAGCTCAGGTGCCAATCATTATATATATATAAAAAGCACTACCTTATTAATAGAAAAGCAGTAGAAAAAATTAATGAAATTAAAATTGTTTCTTTGAAGAGATGAACAAAATTGACAATCTTTAGCTAGACTGATCAAGGAAAAAAAGAAGACGCAAGTTACTAAAATCGGGAATGAAAGAAGGGACATTACTACAGACCTTAAAGAAATAAAAAAGATTATAAAGGAATAATAAGAACTATATGCCATCAAATTAGATAATCTAGATAAAATGGACAAATTTTTAGAAAGACACAAACTACTGAAACTATTTCAAAAAAAATCTAAATAAACCTAAAAGAAGTAAAGAGATTGCACTAGTACAGTCATGTGCTGCATGACAATGTTTCAATCAACGACAGACTGCATATACAATGGTGGTCCCATAAGATTAGTACCATATAGTCTAGGTGTGTAGTAGGCTATACCACCTAGGTTGTGTAAGTGCACTCTATGATGTCTGCACAATGACGAAGTCGCCTAATGACACATTTCTCAGAATATATCCCTGTCATTAAGGGACACGTGACTGATTTTTAAAACTTCCCACAAAGAAAATTCCAGGCCTAGATGGATTCACTGGTGAATTGTACCCAATGTTTAAAGAATTAATGCCAATCCTTCATACTCTTCCAAAAAATAAAACAGGAGGGAACACTTTCCAACTCATTCCACGAATCCAGTGTTACCAAGATATCAAAACCAACAAAGACTTCACATGAAAACTATATATCAACATTGCTTATGAATATAGATGCAAAAATCCTTAACAAAGCAAAACGGACACAGCAACATATAAAAAAGATTATACATCGTGACCAAGTGGGATTTATCACAGGAATGCAAGATTGATTTACTATTTGAAAATCAAAGTAATACATCATATTAATAAAATAAAGGACCAAAACCACATGACCATCTCAATAGATGCAGAACAAGTATTTGGAAAAAATTCAATACCCTTTCACGATAAAAATACTCAACAAACTAGGAATAGAAATGAACTTCTTCAACTTGATAGAGAACATCTACAAAAACCTCACATCTAACACTAGACTTAGTGGTGAAAGACTGAAAGTTTTCCCCCTACGATCAGGAAAAAGACGAAAATATCTGTTCTCACCAATTCTATTCAACACCATACTGAAAATTCTAGCCAGGAAAATTAGGCAAGAGAAAGGATTAAAGGGCACTGAGATTGGACAGGAAGAGGTCAAACTATCTCTATTCGTAGATGATATGATCTTGTACACAGAAAATTGTAAAGAATATATACACACTACTAGGGATTAATGAATGAGATCAGCCAAGTCGCATAATACAATATACAAAAATCAATCGTATTTCTATCTACTAGCAATGAACAATCTGAATATGAAATTAAGGAAACAATTCAATTTACAATAGCACCAAAAAGAATGAACTACTTAGGAATATATTTACCAAAAGAAGTGCAAGACGTGTACTGAAAATTATAACACATTATTGAAAGAAATTAGAGGAGATCTAAATAAATGGAAAGAAATCCTATGTTTATGGATCAGAAAACTTAAAAGTTGTTAAGATGGTAATACTGCCCAAGTTGATCTGCAATTTGACACAATCTCTCAAAATCCCAGCTGGCTTTTCTACAGAAATTGGTAAACTGGTCCTAAAAGTCATAAGGAAATGCAAGGGACCTAGGGTAGGCAAAGAATCTTGAAAAAGAAGAGCAAAGTTGGAGGACTCACATTCCAGATTTCACAACTTACTATTAAGCTACGGTAATGAAGACAGTGTGGTACAGGCACAAGGATATATATCAATGGAATAGAATTGACAGTCCAGGAATAAGCTCTTATATTTATGGTCAATTGATCTTTGATAAGGGTTTCAAAACAATGCAGTGGTGAAAGAATAGTCTTTTCAAACTAAAGATGTGGGACAATTGGATATGTATCTACATGCAAAACAATTAAGTTAGACCCCACCTCACCTCATACACAAAAGTTAAACAAAATGGGTCATTTAGCAAGAACTAAAACTCTTAGAAGAACATAGAAGTAAATCTTTATGATCTTGGGTTAAGCATCGATTTCTTGGATATGACATCAAAAGCACAAGTGACAAAAGGAAAAATAGACAAACTGGTCTTCAGGAAAATTAAAAATGTTTGTGCTTCAGAGGTTACCACCAAGAAAGTGAAAATACAATCTGCAGAATGGGAGCAAATATTTGTCAACCATATCTCTGATGACGGTCTAGAATCCAGAGTAGATAAAGAACTATTACAACTCAATAATAGAAAGAAAAATAACCTAACTAAAACATGGGCAAAGGATCCGAATAGACATTTCTCCAAAGAAAATATACAAACTGCCAATAAACACATGAAAAGATGCTCAGCCACCAAGGACATGCAAATGAAAACCACAATGAGATACCAATTCACATCCGCTAGGATGGTTATAACCAAAAAGACAGATAATTACAGGTGTTGGTGAGGATATGGAGAAATTGCAACCCTCATACACTGCTGGCAGGAATCTAAAACGGTGCAGCTGCCTTGGAAAACAGTCTGACCATTCCTCAAAAGTTTAAGCATAGAGTTACCATAAAACCCAGCAATTCCACACCTTGGTGTCTATCCAAGAGAACTGAAAGCATATATCCACACAAAAACTAGTCCATGAACATTTATAGAGGCATTATTGATAATAGCTAAAAAGTAGAAATAACCCAAATGTCCATCAACTGATGAATGGATAAACAAAATGTAGTATGCTCAAACAACAGAATATTAACCAGCCATAAAAAGAAATGAAGTACAGATTCATGCTATAACATGATTGAATCTTGAAAACATTATACAAAAGACCATATATTTTATGATTCCGTTTATATGAAATGTCCAGAATAAGCAAATTCATAGCGACAGAAAGTAGATTAGTGGAGACTGGGGAGAAATAGGGGAGTGACTGCCAATGAGTACGGGGTTTCTCGTTGGGATGATGCAAATGTTCTAAAATTACATAGTGATAACGGTTGTACAACTCTGTGAATATACTAAAAACCACTGAAATGTACACTTTAAAAAGGTGAATTTGATGGTATGTGATATACCTGTGGTATATACGGATATATGTGGGATATCTCAATAAAGCTGTTATACATATAAAAAGAGAATTACCTTATCACATTGAAGTGAGGTGGGCCTCCATTTCCTAGTGGAAAGATAAAAAAAAAGTTCTCGCCAACTGGAATATACCACAATACGCCTGACAAGGCAAAGTTTTCCTCGAAAATTGTCCTCAAAAAAGAAGGCAAAGTAGTGCAGACCTCAATTTTTAGGGCTCTGCTCACCATTCCTCACCTCCCTCTCCAGGATTGAGGGTGAGAGAGCATAGTGTATGTTTTTATGACAGTAGAGACAAGGATCTCCCTCGTAAATAATCTTGCCTCCCACTCTTGAGGCTGTCCAAGAGTAGACATCTGTGGTTTCTGCCTGCCCACTACCCATTCTCTTGTTTCTTGTAACTGCTTGTGGATTGTCCTACTGTCAGCTATTACTTCCTTAATCTCAAAAGGTCTGGCAGACTGCCCTTCAATTCTATGGCCAAAAGGTGGACTTGTGACCCAATCTGTCCAATTAGACACCTTTCTTTGGGAATTTGAATTAATAATGGGGCGACTCAAAGAAACCTGGTGATTTGCCCCACTCAGATGCCCAGAGGAAACTGTTCTACGGTTCCTGCTCCGTGGTAAAGGGAGCTATTCGGGTCCCGTTTCTTTCTTCAGGTATTTTTTGCACCCAAGAACCCTAACTTGGTCTTTTGTATGTTCAAGGACTGACAAATTCCATATCATTGTCTTGGTTCTCCCATGGCAAAGGCAGGGTTCCTCAGGATTGTCCGGACAATGAAGGAGGAAGGCTCCTAAATTATGAGCAGTCATGACCTAGAATCCACTACTGCCATTGGAACATCTTCTCTTTGGTTCTTTCTTGGTGACCATTTGCTCCTTTTTTTTTTTTTTTTTTTTTTTTTTGAGGAAGATTAGCCCTGAGCTAACATCTGCTGTCAATCCTCCTCTTTTTGCTGAGGAAGACTGGCCCTGAGCTAACATCCGTGCCCATCTTCCTCTACTTTATATGTGTGATGCCTACTACAGCATGGCTTGCCAAGCAGTGCCATGTCCGCACCCAGGATCCAAACTGGCGAGCCCCAGGCCGCTGAAGGGGAACATGCGCACTTAACCTCTGCACCACCGGGCCGGCCCCGTGCTCTAATTTTTCAATTGAAGCTCTAAACATTCACTGAATCTTAACTACATCAAGACATTTTGTTAGTTGAGGGAGTACAATGATGAACAAAATGACATCCAACTTTGGTGGGTGCTGGGAACGTACAGATATGCTCTCTGAATTCTGACTCCGTGGACCAGAGAGAAGGAGCAGAAAAGGAGGACATTTAAGCTTGGCTAGAGGTACAGGCTCCCGGTCTGAGAAATTTCTCTGACCTACAGGGAAGGTAACCTTTCTGATGGGGTATTGAAATCAAGGAATCATGGACTTTAGGGCTGACAATGACCTTATAGATTATCCAGTCCTACGTTTTCCAGATGAAGAAATCCAGATTCTGAGAGGTCGAAATGACTTACTAGAGCCAACTGGGCTTAGGACTTCTCTGACTCGCAGTTCAGTGCTTATCTCACTAGCTCTGGTCACACGGTTGACCTTGGCTGGCTCTTCTAGGTTTCAGGGGACTTGGGAAGGAGGAGCGGCAATATTGGGGGCTTGGTAAATGGTTGCCTAGGGGAGCATGTCTTGCACAGCCACGAAAGAAATCAGCAAGGAATTGTGGCAGATTCCAGTAGTTCGAGTCACGTTACTTTCTTCCTTAGGTTTTCGCACTACACACTTAGCAGAGGAGACTGACACCGGGGTTTGCACTGCAACGAGAGTGTCAGTGTGTGTTTTTCCCACCCTTCTCCATCCTCCTGGAGCCCTTTAAGCAAGTCAACTGCTAAAGGGCTTGGTGAAATGACCTTTGTCACCGCCATGCTCTCTTTCCTCTGAGTGACCCAGTCAGCTGCGAGGGTGAGCTCTTGATTGTCTTTACCTGTAATGTGTCAGGATATCAGTCAAATATCCAGAGAGTGTGTGAGGAAGCAATCAATTCAGAAATCAGGTTTGGACTTTCCCCAGGGCTGACAATGATTTACCTCAGCTAGCAACTTGCTCTGAGCAGAAGGGCCCAGTGCAAATAGCACACATTGCTGGTTCTAGGGAGAGAGACAGGAAAGCCCAGAAATGGTTCTCTGGGTGGAGGAAGAGATAGAGTGTCCTTCCAAGCTGTATTTTTCAGCCATCAATGGGCACGATCAGTTTAACTAATACTTACAGAGAACTTCCCATGTCCCGGGAACTGTGCTAGGTCCTGCAGCCCACACATAAATAAGACATGACCCCTGTCTGCAAGGAACTACAGACAAACATCAGACTGACAAGTTTGATAGCATGCGGTCAGTGATGAGCCCTGGACGTTACCGAAGCACAGAAGAGGGAGATGCATCCTACCTGGGACTCAGGGAAGGCTTCAGAGAGGACCCCCAAACAAAGCAGTTAGCCAGGAAAGAAAGCTGTAAGCCTCACAGGCAAGAGAACCACATGAACAAAGGTGTGGAATCTGGATTTGGGGAAAACGGATGGTGTTACTAGAGCAGGAGGAGTGAGATGGGAAGTGTGGGCAGATAAGTCAGACAAGGCAGACAGGGTAAATTACTGGAAAGAGCATGGTCTTTTTTCTGAGCAGGGAAGAGGGAAGTGCCCGGAAGTTCTGCATTTTAGATAGATCACTGCAGTGTGGATTTGGGGAGGAGGAGCCAAGAATGGGGGCAGGGAACCAGCTGGAAGAGATGATGAGTACCTGATGCAGGGTATTCATAATGAAAATGAGGCGCTCAGGGCTGGCCCAGTGGCGCAGCGGTAAAGTTTGCACATTCTGCTTCTCGGCGGCCCGGGGTCCGCTGGCCCAGATCCCAGGTGCGGACATGGCACCGCTTGGCAAAAGCCATGCTGTGGTAGGCATCCCACGTATAAAGTAGAGGAAGATGGGCACGGATGTTAGCTCAGGGCCAGTCTTCCTCAGCAAAAAGAGGAGGATTGGCAGTAGTTAGCTCAGGGCTAATCCTCCTTAAAAAAAAGAAAATGAGGCGCTCATAATGAAGGAGGTATGGACTGGACAAATAGCCAGGAGGTGGGTGATGGTGGAAACGATGTGGGTAAGGGAGAGACACAAATCTAGGGAGCCTCGCAGGGTTGACTTGGTACCTGGGTGGATAAAGAGGCCATGGACTGAGATAAAAAATACAGGGAAGAGAAAGAAGTCTGGAAGAGAGCTGTTAATGATAGCTAACATTTATTACTCACTTCTATGGACCGGCATTGTGCCAAGAGTTCCTCATGCATATTCTCATAACTCTATGAAGTAGATATTATTCTCCATTTTCAGATGAGGAAAATGAAACTTTGAGATACTGAATAGCTTAGCCAGATCTGCACAGCTGGTGGAGGGTGGAAAGAGATTAGAATCCAGGCATTCTGGCTCCAGGGCGAATGCTCTTAACCACCAAGCTTTATATGTGTGTACGTGACGAGTCTGAAGAGCCTGTGGGACACCACAGTGGAGAGGTCCAGGACTTAGGGGAGCCCCCAGGGCCCAGATCATGGTAAAAATCACAAATATGGATGTAACTACCCAAGTTGAGCAGAGACCGGAAGCACAGCGCCCTGGGGAACCCTGATGTTACAGGAAGTAGCCAGAGGGTAAGGGGCCCACAGATGAGAGAAAAACAAAAGTCCCCTCGGATTTTTGTCTGAAGACATGGCTCTGCTATCTGGGCAATCAGGAATGGTGTGGTGGCATCAAATAAAAACGTCCACCAAGTTAAGCCGACATATTAATCATAACAGTTACTATGTTGCATAGTAATTATCTTAAACGGTAAGCATTTCACATAAATAGCAGTAATTAGTATAGCACAAGTTTCCCAAACTGTGTCCTGTGGAATAGAAGTTCCTGGAGATGTTAATAAATGTTTGGCAAAAAAAGGGCTTTGGAGTCAGATAAGCTTAGGAAACGTTGGTATAATCTAGACAGAGCACTGAACCCCTGGTTTACACTTTTTTTTGTCTTTTCTCTGTTAGGAGGCAGGATAGTAGAATGGCTAAGAGGACAGCCACAGGAAACAGACAGCCTGGGGTTGAATCCTGCTGCTGACAAGCTGGGTGATCTTGGGCAAGTTACTGAACTTCTCTAAGCAGTAGTTTCCTCATCTATGTAGGGGGATAGTAATATGCTCACTGAGATTGATCCAGAGAGTAAATGCAATAATACATTTAAAACACTTAGAAGAGAACGTGGCACAGAGTGAGGGCTCCATAAATATCAATTATTTTCTATAAACCATACTATAATATTAAGTCTCCCTTGATATCCTATAGTGTTTAGTCCTTGGCACACACATTTCACACACACACACTGATAACACCCATATTTCTTAAAAGTCAAAAGTCTTGGTTCTGCTCCTGGTAGCTGAAGTTCTCTGTGCCCCTACCTCCACTCCACCACAGCCCAGGACTGGGAATGACCCAACTCTTGCCCTACTCTACTCTAGGGAAGGGGGCAGGGAAAGGGAGGATTTATATCCTGACAGCATGGCCTTGGAAGGACCACTGCTAGTGCACACTCGAAAAGGGTATACACCTTCTGGGTGGACACTGGTCTGAACCAGGGCGCAGAGCTTAGCAAGTGGAGTGCAGGCTGTATTCTGCATGCCCTCACCTGCTCCCTAGGCTGAACGCCATTGTACAATGAACAACCTGCACAACCATACATGGCAGTTCTGACCTTCAGGCCATAGCAGGGGCTGGAAGCTAATGACCATCAGAGAAAGAGGGTCCAAGTTCTCCTCCCAGTAGTCCATGAGATTAGCTCTCCACAAGCCCTAAGTGGATAAAGGATCCTTCTTCTCTTCCCTCCCTCCCCACTTGTGCCCCACCCCCCATTCATTCACAGAGAGCCTGACCTCAGAATACCCTTGGTGTGAGGGGTACCTCAGGCTTTGCCTATTTTTCTGAAATCCACTGTTTGAGGTTGGGAGATGACAGAGCTGTGGAAAGCAGAAGCGGGAGGGGATGATTTTCTAGGTTTCCCCTGACACATAATGAATACTAAATTATGATGCTTCAAACCACAGCAGGTCAGGGCCAGACCAAGTCTGACTTCCTGACCAACGTTTGGGACAGTGAAGGGAAAACGATGGGAATGGGAACTTCTTAATCCTCACTGTGTGGCCCAAATGTTTGGCTCCCAATGAAGACTCACCACCCCTTTAGGTCGACACTTCCTTTGTGAGACAGAGGGGAATCAAAAGGCAGAGTTTCCTGTTCTCTGGAGGTGGGTAGGGTGGAGTGGAGGGCAGGCACACTCCCACAGCCTCTTCAGCCACTGGAGAGGCTGGGCTACTGCCTAGAAGCACCGCTGTTCAGCCTAGATGCCAAGTCCAGGCCTGACCTGTGGTGATCTGGCAAGGGCTTTCCCCGCTCTGCATCTTGGTTCTCTCCTTTACAAAGGGAGGAACATGAACGGGCCGAATTTTAAGGCTCCTTACAGCTCTGACATGCGATGCTTCGCACTTCTAGGGGGTTCTATTCACTTCCCCTCCAGTCCTGTCTAACTAGACAGGTGGGGGCAGACTGACCAGATACGGCTTACTCTCACCATCCCAGGGGCCTGTGTACCGAAGACGAACCTCCTTTCTCACAATTGTGCTTAGGGTCTGCCTCCATCGCTCTTGAAGACGAATAGCAGCTGGGGCCCCAGCTGGGAGTTTAGGTCGCATGTCCTTGAGACTCTGGAACAAAGACTGAGCTGGATGGGGAAGGGACCTTCCATGAATGTGAGGGGAGGGGAGCCCTGGGGCTCTTTATGCCTTTACCTCTCAGTAGGGCTGGCAGTTCCTTTCCTTCCCACAGATTTGAGGGGAGGGAAGGGGTCTTGTCTTTTCCTCTGAGGCTGATGACTTCAGCTTCTTCCCCTTCCCTCCCTAAGGTTAGGATCTCTACCCCTTCCTCATCTGCTCCCTGGGTCTGAAATCTCCATCCCCCTCTCCTCCTTTATTCTCCTTGGGCTTGGGGTCCTTACGCCCCTCCCTCTCTCCTTCTCTCTGAGCCTCGCCTCTTTATTCCTTTTTAGGCCTGGCCTCTCCAGCCCTGGACGGAGGGGTCCGCATTCTTCTTTTCTCTCTTAAGGCCACAGTTCCCTCCCCCAACCCTTTCCAGCTCCCCCTCCCCACCCCCTCCCTCCGCCCCGAGGCATTGTGGGAGGAAACAAGATGTGGTGCGAGAGCGGCGCGGGGAGAAGCCCGCAGTGCGGGGCCGGGCGGGCGCAGCCAATGGGCAGCGCGGACGGCGGCGCGCGCGGCGGGGGGGCGGGGCGGGGCGCTATTTCAGCGGGGGCCGCGCGTCGGCCGCGCTCAGCGGCGGAGAGGAGCGGAGCGGAGCTTTGAGGCGCCAGTGCGGAGCGGGCGTGCGGGCCGGCGGACGCGAGGCGGAGCGCGGGCGGCCGGGGAAGCTCGGAGGGCGGACAGCGGCGGCGGCGGCGAGCGCTCGGCCTCGGGCTGCGGGAGCCGGACACCGCGGCCGCGGCGGCTGCTGCAGGAGGAGCCGAGGGGACACCGCCCCTGCCCGCGCCCTGCCTCAGGCCATCGCTGCTCCCCCGGGGCCCCGCGCGGACTCGCCTCCGTGAAGGTGAGCGCTGGCTGGGGGCGGCCCGCGCCCGGGGCTTCGCCGCAGGGCCCGTGCGGCCTCCTCGCCCCGCGCGGGACCCGGAGCAGGGCTGGCCGCGGGGTAGCCGCCCGGCGCCCCTCCTCCCAGGGCTGCGCCACCCAGTGCCCTAGCGACCCCCGGGGCGCGGCTGGAGGTCCCGGGCTGCGGAGGGGCCGCTCCCGCCCCCCCCCCCCCGGGAGTCCCCCTGCGCTGCGTGGAGGCCTCCGGTGTTCGGGCCGATGGAGAGGGGGTGGAGAGGGCTCGGGCGTGACGCGGCTGCTCCTGCCGCCGCCGCCACCCTCTGGGGCGTCCTTCCTGCGGTGAGGACGCCCAGTCACTCCGGCGCTGCTCCAGGCCGGCCGGGCGGGGGAGGGCGGATGACCGGCCGGGGCTGCGGCCTGGCCGGGCGGCGAGGGTGGAGGCGGGGAGGAGGATGCTTGCTCATTCCCCGGGCGCTGGCCTGCGGGACCGCAGCTCTCTGGAGGATGGGAGGGTGGAGGGATGCGGCCCCCTTGGAGGAACGAAGGGAGAAAATCACGCGTTCGTGGGGTTTGGGGGTTGGGGAGGGCGGTCGATGTCATCCGGAGCCTTAACCTTTTTTGTCGCAAAACCGGGGCTAGAGGACGGGGAGCTGTCCTGGAGTGCCCTCCTGCTTTTCAGAGGAGCCCCTGGCTCGTGACTGAGGCAGCTGGCTTGGGGCCCCTCTGGTCATCCTTCTCTCCGGAGGCCCAGGTACCTCGCTTTTTTCCCAGGAAGGAGGGGCTAGGCTGGCGCCTCCCTCTCCTTTTCTCACCGGCACCTTGGACAGGGGAGGCTGCGGCTGGGCCTCACCTCTCCGACGCCTGGGGGGCCAGGGGTGAAGAATCGTGGCATTGTAGTCACAAGACCGGCGTTATGTAACCGCAGGCTCTCTCCCGGAGAGGAAGGTGGCTTTTAATTACTGTGGCAGAGTTGTTCCTTTGGACTTTGGGGATGAGGCGGTGGAGGAGTAGGTGAGCTCGCTGGGAAAACCGGTGCCAATTTCGTGCTTTAACTTCGCCGTCTGTAACCGGGCCCCACCCCCACCCTTGGGTTTGTAAACAGTGCCCCCTTCTGAGTGGTAACCTGGAATAGGCCACCGGGTGACACTGGTTTTCTTCACATAGAGCCTTATAATGTCAGAACATTCTTCCTGTGCTAGTCAGGCCTTGAATAGTGTTCTCCTGACCCTTCCTCAGCACCAGGCGGTGCCCACGGACTCCTCTAGACGCTTTGACTTTGCCCCTCGGGGGCATCGGGGCAGAGGGTCCTGGTCCACTAACCCTTTCCTCTGCCAGCCTTTGTGAAGTGGAATCAGCCCTGCCTAGTTTGACGGTCAGACAAGGTACCTTGGATGCGGTCAGGGGCTGCCTGGGTGGCAGCTGGCATGCGTAGTTCTTTGCAGTTGGGGCAGGCTGAGGGAGTAGCCATGAGTTCCGCTTCCCCTTTCAGCCCACAGGCTAGTGTGGACTCAGAGCAGGGAGGCCTGGAATAGTACCAGGCGTCTCTCCTTGAGCAGGCAGGCCTGTGTGTAGCCTTGTATCAGACAGGGCTGGAACAACAGCGTCTTTTGTCCACTGGGCTGGGCCACAGAGTGGTGCTTTGGGGAGTGGGACGGGGTGGTGGTGGGATGTTGCTGCTCTGTGTGACGGGACTGTGGTCAAGGACAGAGGATAGGATTTTGCAGCTCCTCTCCTCTGTTCTTGCAAAGCACCTCACACGCTATAGACTGCCAGGCAGATCCTGGCCATTCCCTCTTGGGATTTCTGTCATTCTAGGAAGGGACCATACAATGTCTACCATGGACTTCTGGTTGCTATAGCATGAATGCCATGGCTTAGATAACAGGGATATGAAACAGGGCTGTTAAAATAATAATAATACTTGACCTTTGTTGTCTCTGTCACCATTGGGCATTGGTAGCCTAGGGGTTGGCAACATATTTCTGTGAAGGGCCATATAGTAAACATTCAGCCTTTACAGGCCATTCAGTCTCTTACAACTACTCAACTATGCTATTGTAGTGTACTGCTATAAACTTTTAGTTACAAAAATAGGTGACAGGCTGCATCTAGCCAATGAGACAGACCCCTGCATAGACTATCTTTGTTTGCAGATGTTCTCATATAATCTTAATTAATCCTTGTAACAACCCCTGGTAGAAAGCTATTCTCTTTGTTAAAATGGAAGTAATCAAATGTGGAAAGGCTAAATGACTTGTCCAAGACCATAAGAGTTCATAGTCGGGACCAGAAGTCAGGCCTGCTGATTCCTAGTTCATCTTTGCACTGTGATACCAATGATGTAATGTTATTAAATCAAGGGGCTTATTGTGTTCAGGTGTTATGCCACCTGATTTACCCCCAGGAATACTCTGCAGTCCTTATTTTAAGATAATGTCCTGAAAGGACAAAGGTTAACTTGCCCAACAACACAGCTAGTAGGTGGTATATTGTAATATCTTGGCTATTGGTGCTATTTAAAGTATTGGAAACAGATAAATTTAGAGTTGGAAAAACCTCAGGTGATAAAAACTGATGACTACTTATGGTTGGTTGGTTGGTTGGTTGGTTTTTTGCTATTTATCTTGTATTTCCCAGACTTGGGGACTACGTCTCTGCTAAAAGCTTAGGAGCTCCCTCTTCTAATGCCTCATGTCTGTGTTTTCTGTTGCCCTCACTGTGCTCTGCTCTCCCACTCAGGCCCCACACCCAGCTGCTAATGCCCATTGCCCAGAGCATGGAGTGTTCAGCCTCACCTCTCTGCTTCTTCTGCAGTGTCACGATGTCTGACCGGAAGGCAGTGATCAAGAATGCAGACATGTCTGAGGACATGCAACAGGATGCTGTTGACTGCGCCACGCAGGCTATGGAGAAGTACAACATAGAGAAGGACATTGCTGCCTATATCAAGAAGGTGTGCCAGGAGAGCTGTGGCTGGTCATCAGGGGTGGGGATGGGCAGCTGAGCTGTGCCCCAGGGAGGGTTGGAGCTGGGGACATAGCTTAGCAGATAGATCCCATCTCCTAGAAAATGAAACCCTAGGAACTTACAAAGCAGACAAATTATGGAGTGATTCTTAGTGCCTAAGCGTTTACCTTAGGAGTTCTTAATAGGAACTCTGCTGATTTGTGTGTTTATAAATATTTATGTGACTGCAAGGCATTGGAGAGAGAAGCTTCAGGATTAACTATGATTGGCCAAATTCAGAACTATTCGAAATGAAGATCAGGGATATCTAAATGGGATAATATAAGATCATATACAAATTTTCAGGGTCCTGTGTCACATAAAGTGGAATATCCCTATAATGATTTTCATCATCTAAGAGGTTTCCTTTTCTTTCTCTCAAAAAGTACTCAGTTACTGCATCATCCCTTTTCCCCTACCTTCTTATGAAAAAGGTGGGCTTGAATATATAATTTTTTAAAAATAGTTGAGCAATATTGGAATAATAGGTTTAGACTCTGAAAAATTCCTGAGTGAATGGATATGATTAACACGGTGAGGAAGCAGCTGAGCCAGAAGTGAGAAGTGGTACCCTAGGGCCCCTGATTCCCAGTCAGGATCCAGGTCCATTGATGGTATAGTTCCAGTCTTTGATATT